ACCAAAATCACGCCTCATAGATGGGGGCTTTCACATTTTTTGGCCACCATAGGGGGTTTCTCTACACACTTCACAGGTCCGAATCTCATTCCCAGGATTGGTCAAATACAGACGCCAGCGGTGTTCAGTCAATTGCAATAGCAAATCACCACTAGATGCCACTAAAGTCTTACACACTGGTGCCTTTAATAACATTAATACATAAATACATAGATTAGGTAGCATGAAAGAGCAATATCAAGTAGCGGAGGGAGAGTGAACAATATTGATACATAATAACAAATATGGGTTAATAAAATTAATTAACCCCATATTTCCCTAATCTTTAGGACGTAGAGTTAAGTGGCCATGAAACTTCTAACGTTACCAGGTGCCTCTGGCTATTATATTTTACTTAAAGGGGTGGGGGTGGGTGCTGGGGAGAGTAGCGCTAATATTAGACATTAAATCATTGGAAATGAAATCTAATTTAAATTTGGCGGGACAATGGAATGAAGTCACAGCTTTAGCATGAGGTTGAGTGCAGATGAGGGTCAAATGGGACGTGAATTGAGAATGTCGGAAACAGTGAGAATGGGGATGGAAATTGTCCGTTGCCTTTGTTCACTGTCGTGCAGAGTACTGTGTGTTACAGTCTAATGGGCCAGGGGACATTGGGTGGAGTGGAAATGGGACAGCAGTCTGCAATGACAATCCTTTGCTTGGTGAAGGGGTGATGTGTGCGAGGGTGGGTGGTTGAGCGGCGATTGTTTAGTATGGACAGCAGTTTGTGTCCTTTCAACTTTTGATACTGTTACTGATTTTGTTTTTTTTAGGTGCATTGTTCCTTGTGCATTTCACTGAGCATGCTCTGTTGCGTGTATTTTTCAGAACGTTATGATTAGGTGTGACACGGTTGAATGGGGGAGTAAGCTTTGATTCGTGTTGTTCACTTGTGTATCTTTGGCATGGCAGGTACCAAGGCTGGGGAGGGCTTCCTGAAAATCAAATGTTGTATGGTTGACACCTGTGCAGCGACGATTAGACAATGATTGAAGAAGGCAATACTTGCGTGTGGACAGAGGTAGGTCCATGACCTCTTGTTTGGATTGTTGAAAGCTGGCATTTGGTGATATTTGGCCCTCTTCTATGTTCAACTAAACAACGTTTTCAGTACTCAAGCACTCTAGATTTTTTACCTGGGTTGCAGTAGACTTTATCATGCGCTATTGACTCACACTTGCTGTTCACAAAGGTGTCAGTAGTTGGCTTTGCCCTCATATTTTGTTTCTCTTACAACTAATTTGATACTGTCTTGGTGTTTTGTTGCATGTATCTCTGGTAACAGGCCGGGAATAAGTTTATAATGAAAAATAATGTATTTATTGAACAGACTGCTGGTCAGTGAAGAGACATTTTGTTTAACTTAGAAAATGACTAGGTATTCTTATATTTCTGCAGTCTTGAGCTATGGGGATGCTCTTTGCAAGTTGCTAGTGTATGTCTTGAATGGTTTGCTTTTACTGCGATAGGGACAGAATGGGTTGCTTCCAGCGGTACCTATGGGTCTGTACATCTCGCGCATTCAACCAGGTGTTGTTGGAAACGTGTTTCGTCAAATGGTTGGGGATGTGTGTTGTGCACGTGTGTAGTTGTTCGCTTGGTGCTCGGTGCAATGTTGAACATTTATCAACCACTGGTGCCTCTCTCTCTCT